CATGAGCATGGAATGTTTTTCCCTTTGTTTTTATCATCCTTGATTTCTTTGAGCATTATTTTGTAGTTCTCATCTTAAAGGTCTTTCATTTCTTTGGTTAAGTGGATGCCAAGGTATTTTATTTTGTGTGTGTGGCTATTGTGAATGGAATTGTGTTTTGTATTTGGTTCTCATCCTACTTGTTGGAGGTATATAGAAATGCAATTGTGTTCTATGCATTGATTTTGTATCCGAAGCCTTTACCGAAGTTATATATCAGTGTGAGGACGTTTTTTGACAGACTCTCTACAGTTGTCTAGGTATAGAATTATATCATCTGCAAAAAGGTATAACTTAACTTCCTCTTTTCCTATTTGGTTACTCCTGATTTCTTTCTCCCGCCTGATTGCTCTGGTTAGTTAGGACTTCTAGTACTGTGTTGAGTAGGAGGAGTGAGAGTGGGCATCCTTGTCTTGTTCCAGTTCTTAGAGGGAATGCCCTCAGCTTCTTCCCATTAAACATGATGTTGGCTGCAGGTTCATCATAGATGGCTCTTATTGTTTTGAAAAATGATCCTTCAATGCCTAGGTGTCCAAGTGTTTTTAACAAGAAGGATTGTTGGATTTTATTAAATGCTTTTTCTGCATCTAATGAGATAATCATATGGTTCTTTGTTTTATACCTATTTATGTGATGAATTACATTTATAGACTTACATGTGTTGAACCAACCCTGTAGCCTAGGAATGAAGCCAACCTGGTCATGATGGATGATCCTTGAAATGTGTTGTTGTATATAATTTGCTAAAATCTTGTTGAGAATTTTTGCATCTATGTTCACCAGGATAACTGGCCTATAGTTCTCTTTCCTTGTTGGATCTTTTCCAAGTTTGGGTATTAGGATGACATCAACTTCATAGAATGACCTAGGGGGAATTTCTTCCTTCTCAGTTGCCTGGAATACTTTCAGTAAGATTGGTATCAACTCTTCTTTGGATGTCTTATAGAATTCAACTGAGAAACCATCTGACCCAGGACTTTCTTTGGTGGGCATGTTTCTTATAACTGAGTCGATTTCTTGGATTGTTATTGGTCTGTTTAGCATTTCAATTTCTTCCTGTTTCAACTTTGGGAGATTATGTGGTACCAGGAATTCCTCCATTTTCTCTAGATTTTATAGTTTATTGGTATACAGGAGTTCATAGTAATTTCTGATAATCTTCTGAATTTTTCCAGGGTCAGTTGTGGCATTGCCTTTTTTGTTTCTAATTGCGTTTATTTGGACTTTCTCTTTCTCTCTTTTTTAGCCAGCCTGGCCAGAAGTCTGTCAATCTTGTTTATCCTTTCAAAGAAATAGCTTTTGTCTTGTTGATCCTTTCTATGATTTTTTAAATTCTATTTCATGTAATTGTGACTTTAGTAATTTGATTTTTTTCTACTAAATTTATGACTTAATTGTTCTTGCATTTCTAGCTCCCTTAGGTGTGATATTAGCTATTTTCTTGAAATCTTTCTATTTTCTTGATATGTGCGTGTAATGCTTCAATATTCTGCCACCCCCAGGTAACCCATCTCAGTGCAAAGGACACCCACAGGTTCAAAGTAAGGAGCTGTAAAAAGATCTTCCAGGAAAATAGAAAGCAAAAAAAAAGCAATGAGTAGCTTTTCTTATATATAAAACAAAACAGACTTCAAATCAATAAATATTTAAAAGGACACTGAAAGACCACTACATAATGATAAAAGACTCAATTTAACAGTAAGAAATATCCATGTTATCTATACATCCAACACAGGAGCACCCAGATTTATAAAATGATTGCCACTTAAACGAAGAGAGGACATAGACACCCATACAATCATAGTCAGAGACTTTAATACCCCACTAACAGCCCTAAAGAGATCACCGAGGCAAAAAATTTACAAGGACATCTGGGGCCTTAACTCAACAATCAACAATTGTACCTAACAGACATCTACAGAACACTTCAGTCAACATTTATTGAGTATTTATTCTACTCATCAGCACATGGAACATATTCCAAGATTAATCATATTATCTGGCGTAATTCAAGCATGAGCAAATTCCAAAAGTTGAAATAATATCAAGCATCTTCTCAGATCACAGTGGAATAAAAATATATATCATCATCAATAGGAACCCCCCCAAAAAACACACAAATACATGGAAATTAAACAACATGCTTCTGAATGACTTTAGGATCAACACATAAATCAAGGAAGAAATAAAAAGAATGAAGCCTCCCTGGTCGTGATGGATGATCCTTGAACTATATTGTCGGATATAATTTGCTACCAATCTTGTTGGGAATTTTTGCATCTATATTCACCAGGATGATTGGCCTATAGTTCTCTTTCCTTGTTGAATCTTTTCCAAGTTTGGGTATTAGGATGATATCAGCTTCATAGAATGAGCTAGGGAGAATTTCTTCCTTCTCAGTTGCCTGGAATACTTTCAGTAAGATTGGTATCAGCTCTTCCTGGTATGTCTTGCAGAATTCAACTGAGAAACCATCTGGCCCGGGGCTATTTTTTTTTTTTTTCATTTGGAGACAAATGAAATCAAGGACACAACTTATCAAAACCTTGGGATATTATAAAAATGGCACTGAGAGAAAACTTTCCTAATGTGCTCCCATCATTTTCAACTGAATAGAACTCCCCACTATCAGCCTCTGTAATAGTTTTCTTAGCAATTATTGCCTCTACCTTTCATTATAATCCAGTATGTTCACATTGCACAACTCACTAGATTTTTAATTCCTCATAAGAGATTTGCAGACCATTTTGCACATCTGTTTTTCTGTGTAGGAATCACTTTAGTTCAATTGAAAACCTATACTGAGTACCCATTGTAAAAGACACTGAAGCACTACCAAGAGATACAAGGATAAGTCAAGCAGCATCTAAATATTAATGAAAAAGGAACTAACAAAAATATCTGCTGTTTTGAACATAAACATACAGATCATGAAGCTATCATTGTATGCTTTTGGAAAAGGAAGATATATTAGTGACTAAATAATCCCCTCCTTGCTTTTCTTAATGTTTCCTGGTAAGTCTGGACCACTAATCAGAGGGGAACATCTGTCACTGTCACATCATCCTCCCAAATACCTTAATGATCCCTGAATATCACTTTCTCTTTGATAGTTTGGGGTTCAGGTAGGCATACTAGATTTTGGCCACTAGTTTACAATTTCTAGTCCATTAAGATCAATTAAATTGTAATCCAAAGTATCCAGAATTATTAGATGCATGAGTCAAAAGTATGACGCGTTGTTACTAACATCATGTGCTGGTTTTTTTTTCACTAGTACACTCATTTCTCTTGGAGACTCTGTTTGGAATGACAACTTCTTCCCTCTCAATTTGAGGAGATAGAAAAGTACCCCCCAAATTCTGGCTGAACCTAGAATGCCATCGCAATTATCATCGGTGCATGCATATTCAACAGCACTGTGGGGGCTTAGAATATACAAGTGGTGCCTAGTTTCTCTTTCTGCTACCGCCTTGGATGAGTTACAAAATGTTCTTAATTCTCAGTTTTCCTATCTATAAGGTAGGGATACTGATGCTTGTACTCCATAAATTTGTGAGGATAATGTGGGAGAATGCATGTAAAGAGCCAGTTCATAAGAAACCCTCTGTGGATATTAGTGATGATTATCCGCACCCAGATATAAGCAATGATGATCTTTCCTTCCAGTTCTGTATTGAGATAGAAACAAAGAAATAAGGAATATATGGTGTCAATCAGAAGTCAAGAAAATTTTTCTCTACAGGGCTAGATAGTAAATATTTTAGTCTTGTGGGTCACACTATCTCTGTTGTAACTACTGTGTTCTTCAGTTGCAGCGTGAAAGCAGCCATAGACAGTGCGTCATTATATGGATGTGACTGTGTGCCAATAAAACTTCATTTACCAAAACAGGCATTAGAAGCCAGATTTGTTTTATAGGCATAATTAGCCAATCTCTGGCTACAAGCCTTTGGGAGTTTACAGTCAAGATGGTAGAAAGACTTCTAAGAGTTTCAGGCAAGCCAGGAGACAATGGGGACAAAATTCACTGCTGTACAGAGAAATGTGGAAACTGATCATTTAGGGGAGCTTACTGTATGAATTCCCTGAGATGAGTAAAAGTGCAAAATATAGTCTAGAGCAAGTACCTCTGGTGAATTTTGGTTTTGTTTTTTTTTTCTAATCTTTCATTTTAAGATAAGTAATCTCAGCTTTGAAATAGATCCTTCCCTTTAATTAGACATTTTCCTTGGGAACTCAACTCTTCCCTTATTCAGGAAGTTGCATATTTCTAGGAATAAAAATGTCTATAGATTGATTGGTAGAAAATGCCTGCTCCTAACTTCTGCTCCCTATCATCATAAATGAATAAACTGAGCTGAGAGGTCATTTCTCTAGCAGTTTGACTGGAAGGAAATGGAATGTTCATAGGCAGTAGAGGAAATAGTTCACTTTCTTTCTATTCTTAGTATTAACATAAAGGAATGACAAAGAGAACCTGTGAGCAATATCAAACTGAAAATGAGCCACTGACTTCATAATAACCACTTAGGCCACATGACAGTTTACCAAGGCTGCCAAACATGAGGCAGTCTGTACTTCTTAGAAAGAAGAGTGGCCATACTATGTGCTCCCAGATAGAGAGCAAGAACATTCTTTGTGAGCTTTTCTCGGGATCCCTGCTTGGGAAAAGAATTGTATGGGAAATTCATAGATTCTTAGATGTGAGCATTTAAATGCAGCATGCCCACACACCAGCCCAACCCACGAGTGGATCCATGACACTGCAGGGGAGCCCCATTTGCACTGCGTTCTCTATTGTAGTTTGATATCCAAAATGGCTAGTCCCTGCTGGGGTTTTTATGATTTAACCTATGCTGGTTCAAAGACATAGTGCTTTGTTCATTAGGAATAAGAAATTAAGTCTGTGATGATAAGGCAAGGTTCTTATCAGATTTCTCTTTTTTGTTGTTTTACAGTTTTCTCCTTGTCTTTGGTTGCTTGATTTTGTCAGTGTTTTCTACCATCCCTGAGCACACAAAATTGGCCTCAAGTTGCCTCTTGATTCTGGTAAGTGAAACATAAACAAGAATGTGCATAAAGCATATGTAATAAAAGAGCTGTCTGTAACATTGACGCTATGCATCCTATCCCACAAAAAGTCCTATCTGGAAAAAAGAGAGTGACTATGAAATGTAAAAGTTTCAAAGATCACTGAAACATTTGCCCACCAAGTTTACCCCTAGTTAATCCTCAGGAATATATAGAAATATTCAGAATTATTATTATGTAGCAAGATCTTATATTATAGGCACATCACAAATAGAAGGCACTATGTGAAAGCAGTTTTAAGTATGCTTATTTATGTTAATAAATTATAAGAAGAATCAGTGTCCATGAGGTCTCTCATTATATTGCTAGAGAGTATAGGGTAGAGAGCATTTTCCAATAGCTGCAATTTGGCAGTAGCTACATATAATTGGCCAAGAACTATGAGCATATGGCACCTCATAGGAAGGTAGAACACTCCTCCACGTTCTTTTCAACCAACAGACTGCAATACGAGCTTTGCTGCTTTGCAGTTACCTGGTGAGAAATTCTGCAGTGTGCTCTGTTTCCATTATGCTGTCAATCCTCAACCACACAGAATTGCTCAATTCACTTTAAAATGGAAAAAGACCCCAAGGTATTTTTGTCTAATTTACTCTGAGCCTTTTAAGCTCTTACACATTTTCTGATACAACTAAATTATAGCACTATGTACTCAAATCACATTTGATTGGAAGTTTGGTTCATTTACAACCATTTTGACCTACTCAGTCCAAAATTATCAGAGTTGACAGTCTCAGACCTGTCTGAATGAACTCTAAACTGTAACATTCACTTTTTCTGTAAAGTCAAGTGGAATAGCGAGGAAAGAAGGAAAATTGAGCGAGGTGGTTTATGTATTCTCATAAGCAGAGGTTGGTTATGTTACAGCAATAAGCACTTAAGATGAAAAAATCTGCCATTACCATGAAGGTGAAAACTGAAGGATTTCAACATATACCCTGAGAGGAAAGCAATTGCTTTTCCTACCTTTCAGTCCAATATCAGAGAGAAATCATTTTGGTTCTGGAACAAATCTATCTCAATTTGTTTCCACATAAATTGTGCTACAGCAGTATATTGCTAATGTTAAGGTTACTGTTTCAAAACCCAAGGTAGAGAACAGATAGACCAAAGAGCACATCAGGGATTTGTTCCATTTACAAGCTTTCCATTTGGGTAGCAAGTGGGCTTTTAGACTTGTCCACCCCTTGGATGACAACAGATGATCTGAACTCAAGGTCTAATGTGCAACTGGCATTTAAGACCACATACAGAACTACAACCAGGAATTTTAGACAGAAAATGCAAATCTGGCTCGGTGGCTCAGCCTGTAATCCTGCGCCTTTAGGAGGCTGAGGTGAGTGGATTGCCTGAGCCCGCGGGTTCGAAACCCGCCTGGGCAGCAAGACCTCATCTCTACAATAAATCAAAAAATCAGCCGGGCCTGGTAGTGCGCACCTGTAATTCCGGCTACCTGGAAGGCTGAGGCGGAAGGATCGCCAGAGCCCAGCAGGTCGAAGCTGCGGTGGCCGGGAGCGGCCACTGCACTCCAGTCTGGGTGACAGAGTGAGACTCCAACTCAAAAAAAAAAAAAGAAAATGCAAATCTGACCTTCATACTTGAAACATAAAAACTGGATCTACTGCATGATAAGTGATACACACTAGGAATAAATCAGTCCTTAGGAAATTCATGAAAAAGTCTCTTTCATTACCAGGTCCAGAATCCAAAATGTTAGGTTTATGTCCTCCATATCTCTGAAATACAAATTTAGTCACTGGGTTTTTTTTTAATCAATATTTTTTATTTTGATATTGTGGGGTACAGTTAAGCATTAGGTATACAAATAAGTGTCATTCAGGCACCCTTGTTGATAAGGGGTTAATGAGTTTCTAAATAGTCCAGAGAAACCCATGTAATTACAAAGCCCAAAACTTATTAGTATCTTGACTTTTAAAACCTGTTGAACAGCAAACAATTGATCAGACTTTAGTAACTAAAGTGTATTCTAGGAGGAAAAAATGTAGATGTTATCAGTCTTGAACGACTTTGGATTTAGCAAAGTAGAAAGAAGTCCCTGTATGCAAACAGGGCCTGAGTTTTGAGCAATGTGGTTAGTGCTCAGATAGATACTCTCAGAAACCTATTGCTACAAGTCTTTCTGTAGGGAGAGGGCTTGTTAATCTTCCTATCTTTGTGCTATGGTGATACATTGTCCAGGCATATTCTTAATGGCTACCTTGAGATGTGCAGACTGTGTTGCAGAGCTAATATTTGCTAATGTTATTCTTCTCAATGTTTTCTTCAAAAGCTGTATTTTGTTTGAACAAAAAATTCAAGTATACTCTTTGTTGTTCTTTTTCTTTGGTTAGTAATTGATAAATTAGGAAAGGATATATATTTTAATTATTTTTTTACACGAAGTTAACATAGCATACCATAAAAGCTCAGTCAGTTGTAGAATATTGGGAAAAGCCAATCATTAACATAAGAAATCTGAATGATTTAAGAAATCTCATTTTATTTTCCTTTAACATATGTGTTTGAGACAGTTACTATCATTTCAAAGTCTGTCTATCCTCTGAACATCTAATCAAACAGAATTCATAGAATGCAATTCTGACCAGCAGTGTTTTTAGTTCCCAAGACAGGGCATATCTAAAGAATTATCATCCATGTAGTAATAAAAATGGCTTTTTAAATGTTTTCAAAAATCTACAATAAAGCCATGATTGTACACTTTTTATGTACACTGTGGGTATATAAATATACCACCAGAGGAGTAAATTTAGAGTTATGTATAAATCATATATTACAAGTGTGGATTTTTTTCATCAGTTCTGTCCCTTTTTGTTTTGAAAACATTTAAAAATATGTGATTCTATTTCTGTGCAAGTAAAAGGCACTCACACTTCTGACAAGGTTCACACTACAAGCAAACTCAGCTCATAGAAACAGCCCTCTTTGACAGTCACTCGTATTCACCTAGCTATTGCCTTGCAGGTACCAGCACATCAGGTAGAGATTATTGCTTTGGAGACATCTTACCCCCTGAACTCCATAAAGACTTTGGCTTTCCATCCCACACCCCTCATCCCCACCCAGGATGGCACTCCCAGCACTACTTGTATATTTGCAACTTCATAAACTTGCTTCAGTTACAGGCCAAATGGATACCTGTATTAATTTGCCAATTTATTCTTTTTCAGTCGTGTGAGCTGGGGTTTCAAGCTGTGCACCAGGTTCTCTTATTTCTCTCCCCAGAAACAGTGGAGCACATCCTTAAGAAGTGAGGTAGATTGTAGCCAGGCACCATGGGTTCAAATTCCACTCCTATCACTTTTTAGCTGTGCCATTTGAAAAAATCAATTTTCCGTGCTTTAGTTTTCCCATCTGTTAAAAGTGGATAGGAGGATTCTGGGAAGATGGCAGAATAGGAAGCACCAGGAATCTGTCTCTCCACCTAGACAACAATTACACTGGCAGAATTAGATGTAACTGAATTTGGACCTCTGGACCCTATTGAATGCTTGCAACTTCCAGAGGAAGACTTGGATGGTAAATTGCAGTTGGTTTTGGTCAATTTCAACTATGAGCACAGTAGCAGCTACCCAGCCCCATTACAGGCAGCTGTGCATGTGTTTCAGGAGGAACTTGAATGCAGCTTACAAGAGCCAGGATGGGCAAAAAGGACCCTGTCCTCCAAATATCAGAAATCTGTTCACTAATTGCTGTTTCTGATCCCAGAGGTGCAGACAGAAGGGTGGCAGCCATCGTTGTGCCCCCTCACTCCATTGCTGTGAGTCCTTCCCCCTCCAACAGAAGTGACTTCCAAGGGATTTGAAGGGTACTCCCCTACCCTTCATTCTTCTTTTTTCCTTTTTTAGAACACAATGTATAAAGATGTGATTATGTGACACCAATAGCTCTAAGGAGTAGGAATAGAGCTATAAAGGAGCAGAGTTTCTGTATGCTATTAAAGTTAAACGGGTATAAATTCAAATTAGAGTATTTTAACTATAGGATGTTAATGTAACCCCCATAGTAACCACAAAAAAATAGCAATAGAATACACACAAAAAGAAATGTGTATATTCATTTCACTATTAAAAAAAATCAACTAAACACAAAAGGAGACAGTAATGTAGGAAATGAGGGACAAAAAAGCAGTAAAGTATAAATAAAACAAATAGCAAAATGGCAAAAGTAAGCTCTTCCTTATCAGTAATTACTTTAAATGTAAATGGATAAAAGTTTCTAATCAAAAAAGATGGGATTAAAATACAGGTTCTATGTATATGCTAAGTACAAGATACTTACTTTAGATTCAAAGATACAAATACATTAAAAGTAAAAGAGTAGAGAAGATAATCCATGCAAATAGTAGCCAAAAGAAAGCAGTGATGGCTATGCTAATATCATGCAAAATAAACTTTAAGACAAAAAAGAAGGGACATAGAAGGACATTATATATCAATAAAATGTTCAATATAGCAAGAAGATATAACAATCATAAACATTTATACACTTAATAACAGATCATCAAAATACATGAAGCAAAAATGGTCAGAATTAAAGGGATAAATAGACAGTTTTACAATACTATTTGGAGACTTTAATCCCCCACTCTCAATAATGGATAGAACTACCAGACAGAAAATAAGAAAATAGAAGACAGTACAATAAACTAACTAGATCTAACAGACATATACAGAACAGTCTACCCAACAACAACAGCATAAACAATCTTCTCAAGACTATATGGCACATTGTCCAGAACAAACTATGTTAGCCCACACACTAAGTCTCAATAGATTTTAAAAGATGGACACCACACAAGGTATCTTTTCTAAACACAATGGGGTTAAGTTAAAAATCAATAACAGAAATAAAACTGGAATAATGTGGAAATTAAACAGCATGCTCTTAAACAACTAATAGATCAATGAAGAGATCACAAGGGAAAATCGAAAATACTT